ATTCTAACATTTCTTAGCACATCTCAGAAGGAACATTAAAAAACAATAACCTGCATTTTTCAGTCTTGGGGTTTCGTACGTTCAGAAGGAAGGCGGTCACCAATGGGAATAAAATGACTCGCGTTAACAATTTCCTTGAAAAGGGTTTCTGCAAACTTCTGACTGAAGATTACTGTAATTACATGTTAATGCTAACACGACCTACAAAAAGATGAACAGATTCACAGTGCTTTCACTAGGGCACTTCAGGACAGAGGGTTTGTCTGTTTTTAAGAAAAAGTCCCAAATCTGCTAAAAATCAACTTTTATGTAATTGAGTTATTTGCTTCAGTGACTGCACAGAAATACTGAAGATCGCAGACTCGGTATCACTGCTAACATAAGCTTGAGTAACTATAACTATTTCAAAAATACGTCAAACAAGTAAATACTACAAAAAAGACAGGAAGAGAAAAAAGGGAATTCCTGGGAAGCTTGTAAGATTCCCCCACCCCAAAACTAAGGGGGCGGGGGGGGAACACAGTCCCTGACCCTGGCCTGCAGGGCAGGAAGGACCACGTGTATCTCTGTTATCTTGGACTTGGGCGATGTCTCGAGTTTTCCTGGCTGGCTGTCCAAGTGCGTCGCACAGCGCTGCTCAGCCCTGGAGCGTGGGAACGCTGGGGCTGCTGCTCCACCGTCCCCCGTGCTCCCTTTCCGGCCACGTGCCGCAGGCCTGGGAGCAGACTGGGAAGCCGCAGTGCAGCCACGTGCCTTGTGCAAGGGCAGGCTATCAGTCAGAGACAAAAAAAGGCAGGCAAAAAAGGTGCAAAGACAAAAAAGGGCAAAAAACCTGGGGAAAAAGCACGTTCTAAATTCTCCAGAAGACAAGGCATTCTTTGAATGGTAACAAAGAGGTGGTTCTCTGCTTTGTAACAAGTCCATTAGTGGGTCACAGGCACTACAGAAGTTGTATCCAGCCTTTTTTGGCAGAAAATGCAGTTATCAGGTACATATGTTTAAAAGAGGCAGTGGCAAGCTGAAGACGATTCCTGGTATTTCGCTCTCCCCCTGAGGAAAGCGGGTAGTAGTAACACAAAGCGCGCTCCGCAGTGAACACACTAACCTACCTGTCTTAAAGGTCAAATTCCCTTTCCTTGGGCCTAATCCTGCAAGCTACCTGGGCAGTGCTCAGCTTTTCAGATCTTAAACTTTCCATCTTTTGCACTTTCCCTTATTGCTCCCACGAAGCCCCTCACTGAGCACGCTGTCAGGTCTCAAATAAGTAATCACAGCCTTTAACTCATCCAATCGTCTCCCTTTAAAAGACCCACACCGCTTGAAGTTGGGATATTTAAGATAAATCGAATGCAAACTGTTTTCTGAGCGCTTCCCTGGGGTCTGTAGGTACATTTGAGCTCTTCATTGCCCAAAGCACAAAACAAAGCACCAGTGCTCAGTAGTTATTTCATTTCCCATGCTCGTTTCTGAGGCCCGCCTCACAGTTTTGTTTGGCGTTAATATTGGAACTTTGTATTCAAACAACTTTCCAAATCTCTCAGACTGACACTTAAAGGAGGTCTGCTGTCAAGGTCCTCTCTTGCAATGCTATTCAGGTTGACCCTAGATCGTTTTCATTTTACGTAGCCCCGTACACAGACTCAATGTCTTTAACTGCAGAATGAGCTGTGCGTAGCTATGCTGTAAATGCCAATTGCAGCATCTACAAATCACTTTCTCGTTCTAGGCAGCAGGCAGTCAGCTTGGTCTGACATCATGTAATTGCGGTACAGATACCAAAGTCAGGCCAACAGCAGAAAACACTGGGTACAAAGTCACTTATTCAGAGGTTATCTTCATCGGCTCAAACGCATCCCCAAGCAGCAGCAAGTAGCATGAAAATTCAGCAGAGTACAACCACTTTAATGTCTCTCCTTTTTAAGATTAACCTTTTCCTTAAAAGCCACCCTTCGGACAGAATTAGAGCAACTGCTGGCCATGCAGACGGCTTCTGTCAAAGCAGCGACTCGTAGGTTAGGTACGCAGCGACGTTCGTGCGTGTTACAGAGACGGACGACCTGATTCATCAGGGCACCAACTGTTCCCCGCCGGCACTGCACTTCCAAGGGTGCGGTGGGTTGTAGCAGCCCACGCAATCAGCCGCAGAGTGAGCAAAGGATAATACAGCGGGACCTGGGAAAGCTTCTGCAATTGAGAAAGCATCCTGCGGTGTCAGTGCTGCCTCCTGACTCCGGGGCTCCATTCCATTCTGCTCGTTTTTGTGCAATGTTGTGCAGATGCTCCACAAAAAACAGGATTTAAATGACTCTCATGCTGCGCACAGCTGGCCGCCCGAACCCAACGAGGCGCCACTCAGGGGCATGCATCACAGGTTTTGTTACTCGGGAACTCTCTGCACGAGCCAGAGTTTTTCCTCACTACATCATTCACATTAGTGGAGTTATCCCTGGAAATTCATTTGACTCTCCAAACTGCTTGTTTCAGTTTGACCTGTAGTTTGTAACAGTTAATATAAACTGATCATCATCCACCTTTAAAATTACGTCTCTGAGTGATATGTACAGTGTGACCTTCAACTCTTACATGAATAAAGTTGAAAGGAAATGGTGTGTTTATCCATTGGGAAAAGAAAGCTGGGAGTGACCTGGTAGATCCTGCTGCATTCAAGTGAAACATCTAAAGCAGCCTTGTCTTATCCTGTCAAAATCCAACAGAGAATCCCAGTCCATTGCATCTGCGCAGCAGCAACTTGGTTTGCAAGTTGCAAAGGAAAAATAAAGCTTCAGAAAATAGGGTGGAGGAGAAAATTGCTTTCAAGTAAGTGACTCTGGTTTCAAGGTATTTTCCAATACAAAAGTCTCATCAAAATTTCATCTGAATCATTTTTTCCCCACTAAATTGAAAAATCTTTATTTTGTCACAATTTCTCTTCATCCAGATTTCTTGGACATTCTTCAGTGCACAAATTAACTACTCTTTCACTTGTTCCCAGGGTGTACAATATAAAAAAAAATCCAATAAAAAAATCCAAAGTGGCTCTACAGTGAGAGTATCAAAGGAGCATCAGTCTTGAACACTGAGTTTTTCTGGCAGAAGGACAGGGAGGAACAGGGTCCAGGTAACAGAACATCCTCTAAATAAATGGGCACATAACAACGTATTGCAGCAGTGCTGAAGTCTGAAAGCTAAAGCCTCTGGAGCCCGAATATCGGACCAGCAGGTAGATTCATTGGGGCAACCACAAAACACAAAATACCCTACTGTAAGCAGGGAAGAAGAAGGTGTAAAATACAGGCGGTAGTTTAGTGTGAAAAACGTATACACCTACCTTTGAACCAGGTGGCGCAGTCAAGCCTAAAAACGCATACACCGCGTTGTTCTCTCGGGCTTCAAAGAAAGCTTCATAATCCTTCGGATTGGGGACAAGGAGGGGAAAAAGCAAAACAGAAGTATGAATCTTCAGAAATAACTCGAGATCAATTTGGTATGTCACCCAGGCCACACAGAGCAAACTGCTTGCTGTGGCATAATACAAAATTCAGAGGGTCGCCTCAGATGTTTATCGTTAACGTTGCTACCATACAACTTGTAGCGTTTGGAAAAGGTGACAAGCTGCGCGTTTCGGCATCCGCAGCAACAGATGCTGCTACGAGGTGCTTCAACCTCTCCCCGAGAGACAGCCTGCACGGCAATGCACTCAGCTGTCACCGGTCTGACATCAATGTCCCTCCTCCAGGGCTGGGCTGAGCCCTGACCAAGTTGCAGTCAGAAACATTAACGTCCACAGCTGTCATTACTGACTCCTGATTAGTACTGGCAACTCTGCAACTAGGGACATTAACTCGTAAACCTGTTAGAAGTTCAATTTAAACCTGTAAACTGAAAGTAAATCTTTTTCCATCACTTTTGCCATTAATGATTAGTCTAGGCAAATGACTGAAAGGCAGTGGGACTGCTTGCTAGACATCCATCTGTACTCATGTGCTGCAGATGTACAGATCCAGCTCCCTTTAGCGTAAGCAGAGCTCGGGCACCAGCCCAGCAAAACAGTGCATGTCTCAGCCTCACACTCTTCGGTGCTGTACTAAGAAGTGCACCACAGTAGCTCTAAATATGCACACAGCCACTTTCCAAGCACGAAATTAAGGTAAAAACAATGAAACGCACACACAAAATACACATGCTCCTTTCTCTACCCTTTTTTACATTTGAGACAAAATGTAATTCTGTACAGTGCATACACGACTCAACCTAGCCATCTGCTAAGTGGGGAAAGAGCTGGCAAAACCACGCGGCTCAGCAAGCGCTGTGGCCAAACACTGACCAAACGAACCGAGGACTGTGCAAAGCCGGCGCTGGCCAAGTTACCGCACACTTCCCTTGCTCCAATTCCCAAACTCAGCCCCTATCTGACTCGTGCCTCTCCTCTCCGTTCTAGCTGAAGCAACAGCACGGGCTTTCTCCAGCTCTAACGAGGTTTCTTTTGATGAACGAGTCCTGGCCGAGAAATGTCTCCAGGGACGAGCGGCAGCACCGAGCAGGCTCCGTCGAGGGCTGACGGCAGGGAGGGAGCTGCCATTAAGGGCAAGCTGCTTCACATGCCCATCCGTCTGCAGGCAGAAGCGTAAAGAATGAGCAAATGCTGGAGGATTTGCAGTGTGCTCAGAGCCGGGGCACTTGCAGAAGAGGCTGTGGCAGCTGGAATAGAGGGAAGTACAGGGAACGGAGCATGCAAAGAGCCTAGAGATCAGAGATATCAAATCCTCGTTCAATTTGTACACGCAGCATTCAGGTGTTAGCTTGATAAAAACGCATACGAGTATGTTAAATCCTCCCTCAAGCCCTCCTGGTGACAGTACTTGCTCTACACTGGGGCTGCTTGGTAACAAAGGGGTTGTTATCTCGCGAGTGCATAGTCCAGCGGTCTGACTCTTAGCACCAACCAGGAGAGGAAGGCTCGCCACCAGGAACAGCTTCCTCGCCAACCCACGGGTACGGGCAGCCTGCAATCACAGCCCCTCTGCTGCACCCACGCCAGTAAAACGCAGTTTGCTCATACCTCTGCCAGTTACGCTGCCTCAGATAAAACCAACAGGGAAGTTCATGCTTATGCCGAATCAGATAAAGACGTAGATGGGTTTAAATGTGCGGGTGTATAAAATTTAACTTTTACCCTTCTGAAAGCTAAACTGCAGTAACTTGAATCCAGTTATGCAAATTGCCTGGATTTCAAAATAAGAGCAATTAGGGTCCCTTTGTATCTTGTACGATTGCTCCTTATGGGAGCAACCTCAGGATCAATAAAAAGAACTTGAAACCTCTTGTGTGACGGACAGAGGCTCCACCATCTCACTCTTTACACATGGAAAAGACAGAGTAAGGCAAAGAACAATGACTCTCTGCATGATATACCGCCCTGGTCTCTCTAGTGCTTTGAAATATATATAGCAGCTGGAGAGGTTCTCCAAATCCAGTCAGAAATATCCCAAAAATGGAGAGTAACCTTGCCTGTGTGCTTGGCACAACTTTGATTAAAACCTTCTCCTGGAGATCCTTTGCTGCGTGATCTTCAGCCTAGCCTAATATCCAGTAGTTTCAAAAACTTTTTTCCCCTGAAGAATAGCAGGGGCTGGTCCTGAAAAGTTCAAAGTGACATGATATTCCTTCAGGGAAACCTTTTGTGATGAAATAAGTACATAGCAGGAACTAATCTGAAGCGTGCGTACACTTCTCCCCAAAATTACTGTACACAGAACTCTCATAGGTTGCAGTTAGGGGTACATTAGAAGCATCTGTGATAAGTGAACATCCAGATACAACTGCATACAATTTTTTCTCTTCCTGTCCTACACCACTGCCTAACCGTGCCCTGCGCTGCTGGACAGCTGTAGCAATGCAGCAGAAATCTGGCTACGTTTCACTGATAAAGGACAACTGCACAGCAATCTGCTTGTGCACCTAAAGGCTCTGCTGTTCCAAGGAGAGAAAGGTGACACTGTATGCAACTGGACTTACTAATGGCACAGAAGTTTTTTTTTTTTTCTTAAAAAGCAAAAAGATAGCTGCAAATAATAGACATTTTCAGCTCTTCATGACTAGCTCCTTCTCAGCCTGCAGTTATAGACAATTACTGATCTGTCACTCCAAACCAAAGCTTTTCCACGTCAAAACCACAGTCACTAAAATTTTGAAAGTCGCATGGTATATTAGTTCACTGCGGATTTTGTTTCAAGTTCTGCCTTTGTTACAAGCAAGAAAAAATGCCTGAGGATTGAGTATCGTTTCTTTCCGTAGCCACAGAATTGCCTCTCAAAGGTGCAGAACTGATAGATTCTGATTTATGGACTTTGCAGGTCAGCACCAGATCGCGAAACGACTTAGAAGCAAACAGCAGAGAGCAAGGCATACCGTGGGCTCTTTTCAGAAGATATTAAGTTTTAAAAATAAAATCAACACTTAATCTAATAATCATTCAAGCATGGCCTGCTGAGTAGAAGTGCTGCAGGGCAACATACTTTTGATCAAGCATTAAAATAATTACAAGTAGGAACTGTATTTGCAGCATGATTTTTAATCTATTCAAGGCATTAGCATAAGTGGATTGCAACTGCCTTCCTTTCAGAAACAGTACACAAAAAGCTGATCCCAAGCTAAGTGTTTTCATCTCATCTTTAGAAAATTGATATATACTGACACGGCAGAAATCACTTCATACAAACACTTCTTCTAGAAGCTGAATAACAGGTTACAGATTGATCTAGGATCTATGTTTACAGAAAAAACCCATGTACACAGAGCAGCTCTCTGAAGTTGCTGCAGAACATAGGGTTGCCGCAGCAGGGTCAGATTTCTGTGATGTGCTAGTTCACAATTAAATGAGAATTAAAAAAAACCCTAAACTTTCAAAGCTGTTAACAAACAAAAATCACTGGAAAAATACACATTCTGCAAGCTGGCTCATTCCCATAAGTAGCACAACGGCCGGAGAATCTGCAGATCTGAGGTCTATTCCTGTGCAGCAGAATATGCAAGAACCGATTGTTATTAAGAGCCCCAGAGGATGAGTAAACGTTTAACATCTTCCGTGCCCTTCAAAGCCTGCACACCCAAGGGTCCAGCTGGCCAAGTTCTCTTCTGTTGATCGAAATAGCAAAGCACAAACCATTGCAGCTGTTCAAGGACTGGGACAAGAGAAATCCAAGCGAGAGATCTGGAAGATCCCTTACCCCAAGGTAGCGGCTGTCGTTGAAGAGTCGGGGCGGGAGGGGATTCCCGCTTGCTGGCCGGCTGTCTTCGGGGACGTTCTCCCTCATCCATTTCCGGTTCTCCTCGTTGGCTGCAATATCTTTTTCCTCAAATTCGATTTTATTGGCTTCCAAGAAACCTAATACATCTTGTTGTTGCTTTTTAATCTGTCATAAAGGAAGCAAGAGAAGAAAGCAAACAAAATTAGTCATCAAAACGTTTTCCCACTGCTGATAATGAAATTCCAGGGTTCAATGCAGAAACGGCGGGATACAAAATAAGCTGAAAATGGAAGCTATAAGAAGTATTTTTTTTTAAGCAAGAACAAGTATCTTCTAAAGAAGAGCTAGGAATCCAAGAGCTGAGGGGAAACGCGCGTTGTGCTGTGCGCACAGCGCGTCCCTGGAGGGCATGGGGGAGGTTAGAAGGATGCAGCCCACCAAGCTCGTTGGAGGGCCAGGAGCTCAGAGAAGCCAGCAGCCTTTTTCCGCTATGCTTCAAGGATTTTGCAAAGGCAGGTACGCACCGTGCTACTGCTGACGCACAGCGATTTAACGAGCCCTTCCCTGCGGGCACAGCTCAGCTCCCGCACGCTTCACGCTCCCCACGTTTCTCCTGTCAGTGCTTGGTTTCCTCCTAAGGGATCCCTTGATTTGGTTCCCATATGACTGCACAGGCTGAAAGCCTGCAGGCACCATCCCTATCCACACGTGCGTATTCTGAACTCAGACGCATGACCAAAATACTCCCTGTGGTTCACAAGACTCCCTCCAGAAAACGCATCAAAGCACCAGAAGATACTTTGTAACGGAGACTTCAAGTATGAGGTTTTATTGTTTGACTTTTTTTAAGGATCTGTCCAAAGGCAAAGGTGCAAGCAGTCACCTTGCAGAGGCTATGCTGGCAGGGCCTTAAAATTAACTCAGGTGGATTTTGTTTCTTAGATGCGGTGAAGTATGTAGGCGGGATGACTAAGTAAGGCACCGACTGCATCCTTCAGGCCCCCTGGAATCACAGGCCAAACTCATCCGTCCAAGATTCAAATTTTCATCCTTCAGAAGCTGACTCTGCAGCTCTCTCCGCAAGGATTTCCCGACAGTAAAATCCTAAAGTACCTCTGGCTCACGTTTTTTGCGGCAAAAAAATCTTTTCTATTGTGCTCTGCATGCAGTGATTGCAGGTACTGCCTAGGAAGAGCTTTGGAAACTACTTGCAAAAGTGGTGCCCCAGGTGAGAGAAAAGGCAGGTCTGCCCTGCTATGCTAGCAAAAGTTTTGCTAACAAACTCAGCAAAGTCAAGAGGTCGTTCAAAACACGTATTATCATTATTCACTTGTTACAAAACCAGATTTACTTGAAGAACGGCTGTAGATCACAGCATTCCTCTACAAACACAACAGCAGCACAATGCGGAGGGAAGATTGAGTCTCCCCACCAAAATCCTTATCTGTTTCAAGGAAAGGTCTCGGGATCGAGCCGCGCAGGCTGAATGAGATCCCACCGCTAATGCAGCGCGTCCTGTGCACGCTCACGTGACACCCGGGGCAAAGCAGGGTCCCTACGGCAAAGATGCTGCAGCCGTGTCACACAGGAAACGTGGCTTTTATTACTGTCACGTATGAGTTATTAACTTCCTGAGACAGAGCTGCTCTGCTTACGCTCTGTTCTTCCTCTGTGTGAATTCACCGCTACGAAGGAAACGATAACCATGCCCATCCTGGCAAACGATGAAAAAGCTGGATTTAATGGGAAATTTGTTTTCTTCACGTTATTTCTTTTGCTATAAAACCAGTTCCAGGCCTGGATGTAACCTCATTAGCTCCCTGTGACAAAAGCAGCACTTACTGCAGATGTTGCG